AAAATAAAAAATAATAAAAATTAGCCAGGCATGGTGGCAGGCGCCTGTAATCCCAGCTACTCAGGAGGCGGAGGCAGGAGAATCACTTGAACCTGGGAAGTGGAGGTTGTAGTGAGCCGGGATCATGTCACTGCACTCCAGTTCAGGCAACAGTGTGAGACTCCATCTCAAAAACAAAACAAAACAAAACAAACCATTATCAAAGTCTATAGAGTAAAATATGGAACTTCTTCATTTCCCACTCCTCACTTCCTGTCCCAGAAGTCACCATTGTAAATTGTTATGTGCTCTTCCGGGAGTTTTTCGATCATTTAAATACATATTGTGCGTATATGTTTGTGTGTGTGTGTCTGTGTGTGTATACATACACATTTCTTTGAATTTGCAGACTAAATTGGGGGGATTTATATACACACACATATGCACATACACATTTCATAATAAACTCATAAACAGAATTACACTATATATTGTTGTGAGACACGCATTTGTACCTGATGCTATTTCTTGGAGATCTTTTCAAAATACTAACATATAGATCTATCTTTTTTAATGGTTATTTGGCATTGCACAGTATAAATGTACCATAATGCTTTTAACTAATTTTTATTGATGGGCACTTTGGCAGTTTATAGCTGTTTGTTATTACGAACAGTGCCATAATGAAGATCTTTGCACATATATCATTGCGCCCAACTATGTGTTTCTATAAAAGAGATACTCAGAAAAGAAATTGCTTGGTCAATGTTTTATGAATTTTAAAATTTTGATAGATCTATTAAATAGTCACCTGTAGAGTCTCTACCATTTACAATCCTATAATTGATGAATGGGAGATCCCATTTTTCTACATCTTTCATGTTCATTACTGCCAGTCTAGGATAGGAAAAATAACTCATTTTTGTTTGGATTTACATTTACCTTGTTACTGATTAAGTTCAGCACCTTTTCACATTATGGTCACTTGCATTTCTCCTTCTCTAGATTATCCATTAATGTGCATTGACTATTTTTCTATTGTGATATTTGCCCTTTTCTTTGTATTGGTTTATATATGGTCTAAATATTTTCTGGGTAGTTATCCTTCACCTTCCATATATATTAACATTTTTTCCAGTCTGTGCTTGTATTTTAATCTTGCTTTTGATATCTTATTACCTCTCTCTCTTGGTCTTTGTGTCTGAAATTTGTGCAATCTTTAGAAACCCACAAGATGATAAATATATTTCTGTATATTATTGTAGTATTGTATAGGTTTAAAAAATCTTTGGTTATTTAATATGTATAGCATTTATTTTTGAATGTAGTGTGAGTGGTTATTTTAACTTAACTGTTTTTTAAAATGGCTGGCAATTGTCTGAAATGTGTGACCTTTCAACAACAAACTTGAAATGTTATTTTTTTTACACGTGTAATCCCTACATATGCCATGTATACATGGTTGGTGTTTTTCCTGTTTAATTATCTGTATATTCCTGCAGTAATTCCAAGCTATTTTAATTACTATAGCTTTATTGCCTGTTTTGGATATAGTAATAAAGTAATACTCCTCCCCTTCATCAACACTAGTTTTCTATTTCCAAAGTCCTGACTGCTCTTCCATGCTTTTCCTTTCAAATGAATTTCAAAATGGGCTTATCAAATTATATGCAAATCCCTAGTGGAATTTTGGGTGGCCATGCTTTGAATTTGTAAACTAAATTGGGGGAAGATTTTAATACTA